TCCAGCAAACAGATGGGAAGTGCCCATCAAGAGTGGGCTGTGTCGTAGAGGCTCTGGGTATTAGAAAATACTACTTTTGGAAGACATCCAGATGGCCAACAGACACATGAAGAGATGCTCAACATCATCCATCATCAGGGAAAAACAAATCAAAACTACAATGAGATAGCACCTTCCACTTACCAGAATGGCTAAAATTAACAACACGGGAAACATTATGTTGGCGAGGATGCAGAGAAAGGGGAACCCTCCTACACTGTTGGTGGGAATGCAAGCTGGGGCAGCCACCCTGGAAAACAGTATGGAGGGTCCTCAAAAAGTTGAAAATAGAGCTACCATATGACCCAGCAATTGCACTACTGGGTATTTGACCAAAGAAACAAAAATACTAATTCAAAGGGATACATGCCCCCGATGTTTATAGCAGCATTATCTACAATAGCCAAATTATGGAAATAGCCCAAGTGTCCATCAATTGATGAATGGACAAAGAAGATGTGGTGTATATATACAATGGAATATTAGCCATAAAAAGAATGAAATCCTGCCATTTGCAACAACATGGATGGAGCTGGAGGGTATTAGGCTAAGTGAAATAAGTCAGAAAAAGACAATTATCATATGATCTCACTCATATGTAGAATTTAAGAAATAAAACAAATGAACAAAGGGAGAAAAAAGAGAGAGAGAGGCAAACCAATAAACAGATTCTTAATTATAGAGAACAATCTGTTGGTTACCAGAGGGGAGTTGGGTGGGGAAAGCTGGGGGGGTGGGTAGGGAATAAGTAGTGCGGACTAAGGATGATCTTGTGATGATCACCGGGTATTATATGGAAATGTTGAATCACTGTATTATACACGTAAAACTAATATTACACTGTATGTTAACTGGAATTTAAATAAAAACTTAAAAAACAAAAGACTGCTTTTGTTGACAATCCCTTTCTGCAAAGGCGTAGTGGCTTAAGAGTGTGGAGGAGGACACAAACTGGGAGCAGAGTCTGGATATAGGATAGGCAAAGAAATGGCTATTTGCCATTTGTCGGTTGCCCCTTTGGATCAAATGAAGCCAGAAAATGAATAGGCCAGAGACCAGCTTAACGGAAAAGGTGAACTGGACACGACTATACATGGCTCTTGGTGTTGAACGGGTCTCGTCACTGTTATGAGCGTCCTCATGGGTAAAATGAAGGGTTAGGCCATACTGTTCTGATTCAACTAAAATTTAGTTAAGGCCTCCGTAAGTGCTAGGCTCTTTAACATAGAAGATCTCAAAGTAACAGCATCTATCTCCTAGGGTGGTTGTGAGGAATGAGCAGATCAATACTTGTGATTCTTAGCAGTGTCTGGTGCATACTAAGGAGGTAATAATTAGCCATTATTATTTAATGCCTGGAGCAACCTTGAGGTGAACATTATTTCTTCCGTACAAATAAGGAAACCACTAAGGGACAAGATCAGGATATGAACCAGTCTGAGGCCTGAGTCCACGATCTTCCCATTATGCAGTCTGGCTTGGAAGGGCCCTTACGTCTTTTAATCGTAACAAAGGAGAGGGTAGAAAAAGAGTTCAAACTTTAGAAACAATCAAGCTAAGCACCTTCTAAGGGATTTTCTGTGGAAAGTAGAAGTGTTGTCTCATTTATGATGAAAGTAAGGAGGTTGGGGAGTGGTTTGGGACAAAGCCACAAAAGCTTCTTTGCCCAGGCTCATTTCTTCTCATCTCATGGCAATGATAGATTTCAGAGACACCATCTTCCCTACACACACAAAGAAAAGCTCGGGTTTTCCAAGAATAAAACAATTGAAAAACCGTCCCTAGCAGGAACGTTTAATCACTGCAGGAGAAGAATGAGAAGAGACATTTATAGATCCCTGGAGAAGGCAGCTCCAAGACAGATGAATTAATCACCCACTCCAATGAATTAATCACCTCTTAGGTGCTCACAGACCGTCCCAGTTGTTCTGTTTGTGCTCAGTTGTGGCGCTTACCGTTCTCAATACAGGCAGTCGATGAAAATATGATCATGCTCTATGTGCTAAGGTATATTATAAAGGTAAGCAAGGCAAACGAGGGGGGAAATAAACAAGTCAACCAGGCAATGAATGATGGTGTGATAAGGACAACTGGGGGCAACACTGGGCACTGGGGAAACAGAAGGAAGAACCTAGTCCCGCTCTGGTGAGGGAAATTGGGGTGGGTTTCTTGAAGCAAGTCTCTATAAATCAAGACCTAAAGAAATAACGAGTAGATTCACCGGATCTAGAGGGAGAGGTGGGGGTGAAGAGAGAAGGGTATTTCAGGAAGAGGGGCTGATATGTGCAAAGTCGAGGTGACAGAAAGCCTGGATCTTTGGAGAAAAAGGAAGTGGTTCTGAGCACGAGGTGGGAGGAGACAAGAGATGAGAGGCTGGAGAGGTGAGCCGCAGCTAAAGCCTTATATAGCTTTGTACACTGACTAAAGAATTTGGGCATTCTTCAACAGAACTACTGAGAAATTTTAAGCAGGAGATGAATATGATTTGCATTGTAGAAAGATCAATTTGGAGAATAGATTAGAGTGAACTAGGTCTAGATAAAGGCTGATAAAGTGCTTGAACCAGGGGTAGTGACCAGTGGGGAAGGAGGGTGGATGAACTGGACAGATACTTGAGGCTAAACATTGAGTCAAGGGTGAAGCATGAGTTTCTGGTGTGAACTACCAGATGGAGGGGTTGTCATTAGCTCCAAGTAGAGGAGGCTGGATGAGCTTTGGATATACTGTTTCAAGAGCCTGTGAGGCTCCCGAATGGGGATGCCCAGTGAATGGCTGGATGTGCATGCCAGGAGCTCAGATGAAAGGGGTGGGAGGGATGTGGATGGGAGGCTGGGAAAGATCAACTTTGTATGATCCAGGGGCATGTGGAGTTTTAGAAGTTGAGAAATACAGTGATGTGGATGGGCGGCGGGGGGGGTGGGGGGGGTCCATCATCTGCACAAAGACAGTGCATGAAGGTATGCGATAGATAGGGTTGCTTAGAGAGTGGGCCAACTGAGAAGACCGAAGACCCAATTCTGAGGAAGGCTGGAGCTCAAAAGCAGTCAGAGGGAGTGGGACCTGCCAAAGAGCCCAAGAATCCCTGCACAAAGAAATGCTCAAATTAACTATTTTTTTCAATTTATGTTAAATGAAGAGATCGGTCAGAGACAGGAGGAAAAGACTTGCTATTGATGCCAAAGAGAGGAAGCCAGACACAGCAGTCATTTAACTGCAGAGGGGTAGGAGAAAGACTGGATTCTAGTATTAAGCCCAGTCTCAGAAATCAATTTCCTTCCATTTGGTTTCCTGGCTGTGCATCCCACCTGCCTTCAAGTCTGAAAGTGTGTCACAACGACATCACCTGGGAGTAACTGCTGCCACTTTCCCTTCTGTTCTTGTGGTGAACGTGTGCCAATCCCAGCTCCTATCCTGTCTTCACACATGACTTTATTTCGCCCTGTTCAGTTTCACCTTAGATTGCTTTGCTCCTTGGTTATCTCTCAGTGCTATGCATATCTAGGAAATCTTCTAGGGTAACAAAAGCCAGTAGAAAAACTGATACAGTCTCATCATAACCTGATCCAAGTGGCCATTTTACTTTACAAATTTCCATTTTTTTTAGAGCTATAACCTCAATATTTAAGAACAAGTTACAAATCCTAAATTGCACTGCTTACCAGGAACCAGTGTTGACTGCTCCCTGAAGTTCAATCTATTAGTTTGGAAGGAATTTAATGACTTTGGCCAGAGGCCAGTCAGTGAATGTACCACCTCTCCCAGACTACTCAATTTTGGAGAGTGACATCATTGAGAGACTTCTGTTTTATAAACATTTCATATATTAAGGGAAATGTTAGAGATAACTCTGTCTGAAATGCAAGCAATGTTAAGAGCTTGAACAGGAAGGACATAGCTAATGAGGGGTTAGGAAATGAGATAATCTCTTTTATAGAATCATCTGATATTGAGGAAACAGGAATTTCCAAAGGAGAGGACACAATGAAATTAACCAATGAATGGAGCCATCCTTTGGGATTAGTAACCTTTAGACCTGGACCTAGCAACCAAGCTGTGGTGGATGATTGTAGTAGGGCTTATCTATCTGGGCACTGGTTTCCTCTAGTGATAGTTTTCCCCCCACAGACCCAGAAGGCTATACCCTAAATTAAAAAGTATAAGGATCAAGGCTGGAATAAAGAACCATTCATATATAAATGCTGGAAATAACCTACTTTTATTTTACATGATTGAAGACCAAAACACAAAACACCCCACCAAACCCTCCAAATCTAGCTCTTATTGCTATGTCCTAGTGTATCAGATGTCCCCTTTCATATGCCAAGAACATGAGAAGGGGTGGTTGTCAGAATAATGACCCTGTCTGCTTATTTCAAGAGCCCAACATCTAAGGCCTGATAATACAGAAATCAAAATTGTACTTGTCAAAACTCATCAAACTGTATACACTTCAAATTTCTGCATTATATTTAAATTATACCTCAAATTAAGAAGCACATGGCAAAAAAGGGTAGAAAAAGGAAAAAAAGAGTTCATTATTAAATCCTGTGGCTAAATGATTTTGTACCTGTTGTCCTCAACAGGGTCAAAAGCAGGAAACAATAGGCAAAGCTTACTTTTAAATAATGCTTCTGAGCTGCCTAAACAAACATTTCCCTTGGACCACTAAAGGGACTTCTTCAGTAAATCACGGTACCTCATACCCTCAACCCGATTTAAAAAAACTGCAGAGAATTTTTGGAGTGAAGAACAAGGTTGATTTTTTTTCTTATTTTTTTCCCATTATTTTTCAAATAATCTATAAACTAGTTTAACTTTTTCATCAATATGAAAATCATGCATACTCATCCTGGCAATCAAGGATTTAGCTCTCCGGGTTTAGGCAATTCATGGTGTGTGGGGGTATTAGGTCCATTTATTTAAAATTGAGGCTGAAAAACAAATTAAAAAGTCCTCATCCATCTGGAGATTTTAATATATTTATTTGAAAACCAAGTTCTGTGAAAGAGCACACTAAATAGTCATATATCTTCTCTTCACCAAAGACTTGGAGACAAGGTTCTTCGGGTCAGCGCGGAGGCAATGGTACATGCAGTGAGTAGCAGGTCTCAGCATGGATTTCTTCACAGGCATCTCCAATACGGGCCTGGACAATCTTCTTCAGACGAGCAATGAGAGCCTAAGGAAGGCGGCAGGGGGAAAAGCTAGGGTCATTCCTTGTTTAAAAGAAAAAAAAATTTTTTTCACCACTAGCTGTCGAAGTCTAAAACTAGCCCCTAACCCTGCCTATGCAGTCCTAATATGCCAGTGTTCGATAGGACAGACTACAGTTCTTACACTCCCTCTAGACTGAATATTTTATCCTTTGGAAAAGAGTAAGAATCCAATTTCTGGGGTGCTTGGCTGGTTCAGTTGGCAGAGCATGTGACTGGATCCCAGGAGTTTGAGTCCCCATTGGGTTTAGAGTTTGCTTAAAAAAAAAATCCAATTTCTGGGGTGCCTGGGTGGCTCGGTCGTTTGGCATCTACCTTTGGCTCGGGTCATGGTCCCAGGGTCCTGAGATCGAGCCCCACATCGGGCTCCCTGCTCCGCGGGAAGCCTGCTTCTCCCTCTCCCACTCCCCCTGCTTGTGTCCCTGCTCTCGCTGTGTCTCTCTCTGTCAAATAAATAAATAAAATCTTGAAAAAAAAAATCCAATTTCTAACTAAAAACTTCTAAGCCATCTTGTAGTTAATTGCCTTGAAAAACTTATTAATCAGGAGGTTTTTTAGTAAGGTAAGTGTGGCGAAAGGCTTGAGGGGGCTAATGTGAGTCTGTTCGTTCCACAGAGAGACTGAGTGCTTATGGTATCAATACCGCCATGTGCTGGTTGGGTAAAGCTTAGGAAACCATCAAAGGCCCAAAGATAATTTTCAAAGCAATTTTACATAGACAGGAAGTTAGTATAAATCTCCCTCTCTCAATCAAAGGTCCAAACACTTTTGGGAGCTTGAATATATTTTCCTACTAATGGTAGGGCTTCTGCCTTAATATTTATCTGAGATTTCTGTAAAAGCTTTCATTAATTGCTAGTCAGTGTATAACACTCATGGTGCTAGATTTACAGCCTGGCATTTAAATGTATTTTTCTTTTGTCATTATGTAATAAATGATACTCTTCTTATTTTCTTTTTCTTTTTTCTTTTTATTTATTTATTTATTCATGAGAGACAGAGAGAGAGAGAGAGAGAGAGAGGCAGAGGGAGAAGCAGGCTCCCAAGGATCAGGGAGCCTGATGTGGGACTCGATCCCAGGACCCTGGGATCATGACCTGAGCCGAAGGCAGACGCTTAACCATCTGAGCCACCCAGGTGCCCCTCTCTTCTTATTTTCTTTAAAGAGTAGAAGAAAAGACTAAATGCTTATTTGTCTGACAATGTATTTGTACTAGGGTGGAATGAGAAAACCTTCATTATATAGTTTATATGCATCTTCAAATATGTGATTCAAAAAAATGGGGGAAATAAGAACGACAATTTCATGATATTAGATTATTCCAATTTTTTGCATCTAAAGACCTACTTCAACACTGTTAGAATACTGGCATCATAATCTTTTTCAACTGGACAAAGCTTTGTGTTATATAGTCTAAGCTGACACCGAAGTACCTTTAAGCACTGTGTCTTACACACATTAGATGTTTGATAACTTCAGTGAGTAAATGAATATTAAGGCTTTTAGTGCCAAAAGTATCACCAAAGGAAAGGGAGAGAGAGAGAGAGAGAGCGAGAGAGAGAGAGATGAATCAGTGATCCATGAACCAGTGCCAGCCGTAAACTGTAACTGATCTGTAATAAGGGACTCACATCAAGGTGTAAATCAACTCTATCATGAGCAAATGGTCAGTTCAGTTGACTCTTTTTTGGGGTGAGGGGGTAAGCAAAGCTTTTTCAATGAAAGAAGCATTGAACAGATTGACATTTTGGAACAAGCTCCCTACCGCCTCATGGACCTATGAGAATAGTTTTTAGCCATTCTGAACAGCACTGGTCAAACACTAGAGTGTAGAGAGAGAGTCAAAGGAGAAAGAAAAAGGAATTGGAGGTTATGTATGCTGAACAAGTCAAAAAGAGGGGAAATTTTAATACCATGTAGGTAAACAGGAATTAAAGCACAAAAGGAATGGAAAAAGTGACACAATGTCTCTGCCGGAAACATTTAAGATGTATTGACAAACAGATTTCCCTTGATACACAATTTTATTCTACACATACCTCTGGTCCTTAATCATCGATATATTCAAATGGTTCTGGAGGTTCTGGCTCTTGTTCTTCTTCCTCGATTTTTGGGCCATGGGCTGCCACAGGTTCTACCAGTTCTTCAATGTCTTCACTGGTATCCTTCAGGATGATGATGCCTCCAATGGAGAGCTGTAAACAGAGCAAGGAATGAAGAAGCACAAATTCCACTCATATTTTCAGACTGCTCCAGGGTCTAGAGGGCGTGTTTGTTAAATGGTACCTTAAGGCTACTACAATGATCTGGAAGTAAAGAACTGGAAGAGAACTACACTTCACCAGACAAGCGCCAGGAAACCCATGCACTTACGCCTGTGTGAAGCTACACCCTGACAAACTGTTCAGCTGCAAGAAGCGGCTAATAAGATCTTCCTCTTCCATTCCTTCAGTTAGTCTGAGAACTAAACGAGGAAAGCAACAATCAACGTACATTACAAAGGATACAGAAAAATGTGATCTATACGGAGTATTTACAAACTTAGCCCAGTGGCAGAACATGTGGTACTCTTCTTTTTAGACGATGTGTCCCAACTGAAGAGCAGTATTTCCAGCACTGCCGCGGTACGACTGTAGAGAGAAAGTTTACTGTCCAAACACGGCATTCTAATGCCTTGCTACTCAACACGTGCTCCTGGACCAGTTGCAGCATTATCACCTGGGAGTTTGTTAGAAATGCAGAAAACAGGGCGCCTGGGTGGCTCAGTCGGTTAAGCGACTGCTTTCGGCTCAGGTCATGATCCTGGAGTCCCGGGATCGAGTCCCGCATCGGGCTCCCTGCTC